ACTTTCATTCGAAGGTCATATGTTTTGAATATCTACCGTTTTGGTATTCCACTACCGCATTATGTACCTCTTTCGGGTATCCAGAGGTCCACGTAGAGCGACACGATTGAGGCTGGAGACGCGAACACGAGCGGAGCACCCTGGAGATAATAAATCTCCGTCTGACATTACATATAACAACAAAGCGGGCTAGGAAGTAGGGATTTTGATTCTGTGGTGAGCGCATTGGCTTTCGGATGAGGATTGATTAGGATAATGACTTCTCACACGGGACGATGGGTCCTGGGATAAAAAACTATATCTCCGGTCATTGCCACGTGGTAGTAAAGGCAATTGAATTTAGAGCATCGCACCTTAAACTTCTGATCCCCTTATAGTTTTTTAGGGGGGGGGGGCGGGGGGTGGTATGAGAGTTAAAGGAGATGGGGCCAGGATGGGGCTGGGTGTGCAGAGCGGGGACACCTTCCGACCTGGCTGCAGCGCTCGCGCCCAGGGTGGGGCGTCCCTGTCCTGCGCCCCCGAAGCCCACAAACCCGAGTCACCCCGGGCCCGGCGATGGCGGCTGGGAGCGAACCTGCGGGAGCCGCGGTGCAGATGCCCCGCGCTCTGGGTGCGCCTGCCGAGGCTCACCTGCGGGCGGCGGCTCGGGCTCGGCTCTGCGGCGCTGATGCTGCGGCGCCGAGGGCGCGGGTGCTGCTGCTGCTGCTGCTGCTGCTGCTGCGGGTACTGATGCTGCGGCCGCGGCTACTGCGGCGACATCCGGGGCTGCAGCTGCAGTGGCGGAGCGGCCGTCGGCGCTTCCCCCTCCTCAGACTCCGGGCGCACTGGCCCGCCGCCCCCGCTTACAGATTGCTCCGCTCACGTGATGCGGGTCCACCCGCCTCCCCGTGCCCTCCCCCCACCCCCACCCCCACCCAGGGCTGGAGCCGCGCAGCACTGGCCTGTCTGGGCTGCCGGGGCTGGAGCACCGCGCTGGGCTCGGGAGGGGAGGGTGCCTGGCAGCAGGAGGAGCTGCCGCCGGGCGGATCTCCCGGCAGAAGGTGGCTCTTTGCTCCATTGTTATTTCTAAGTCACCACCCGGGTGGCATCTGTCTCCAGAGGAAAACCCGGACTTTAAGGAGCCAGGCCCCGCTTCCTCCCGGGGCTTCAGTACCTAAGCGAGATTTCCCCTCGGAGAAACGTGTCCTGTACGTTGTTGACTCACATGTCCAAGCCAATTCCCTGGTTTTAAAGATGCCATCCTGTGCCATGTGGATAGGCCAGACCCTAAGCGGGGTACTTGGGCAATGAGGCCCAAAGAAGTTAAGTAACTCTCCCCGGGTCACACAGCAAGTAGCAAAGCCAAGATTCCATCCCTGGGTTAATAACACAAACAGGTGACCAGGTGTGTGTGTGTGTGTGTGTGTGTGTGTGTGTATGTGTGTGTGTGTGTACTGGCATCAAGGTATTTGGTCCAGACATAACCATCTACCTGTTAACAAAGCACAGACTCTATCTTTTATGAAATAGCAAATAAGACTATCCTGTAAAGAGAAAGTCCACAGGAAAACAAAGGCAGTACCACTCGGGCACATGAAAAGATATTCACACTCACTTCCCTTCAAATCAGATATACATGGTCGCATTTTCCACTTGTCAGGTTAGCAAAAATCAAAAAGTTTTATAACCTCCACAGAGGACAATTTGGTAATATCTCCCAAATAACAGATACATATATAGTCTTCGGAGGATTCCACGTCTGGAACGTATCCTACAGTTTGACACGGGTGTGAAATGATATGAGTACACGGTTATCCGTTGCTATATTAGTTGTGCTAGCAAAGATTAGAAACAAACATCCGTCAATTGGGAGCTATTCAAATAGCACAATATAATGGAACGCTATCCAGATATTTTAAAATGAGGAAGATCTCTATGTACTGATCTGAGAGATTTCCAACCCATACTCAGTAGGAGAGGGAAGCCATGTGCAAGTCATTGTGTGTTATCAGTTGTGGGAAGAAAAAAATATATGCCTGTACTCTTACTTGCATAGAATATCTTCGGAAGAATCCATCAGAAACTGTAATAGTGGATGCCACCAGGGAAAACTGGGTGACTGGATGGAGGGAAGGAAGGAGACTTTATTACATGTCTTTTGAATGTTATGCTTTTGCTTGTGGTTTGCCACATGAGCAAATGGATAGTAGGAGAGGGCTGAGGGAATCAGTGCAGATGCTGTGGAACAGAGCAGTGGCACGCACACTCTTGGAGCACAAAGGGGTCTTATTGTGCATTTAGTCCAACCAAGAAAACTGTAGCCCAATATCAATATTATATACTAGAGTCCCGGTGCACAAATCGCCTGGCCAGCGATTGGGGCCAATCGGGGCGTCTCCCCCAGTCCTGATCAGGGCAATGGGGGCTCGGCAGCCAGGGAGGGACCACAGGAGGGCTCCAGGGTGTGTCCAGTCCTCTCGCCCAGTCCCAATCAGCCGGACCCCAGCAGCAAACTAACCTACCAGTTGGAGCGTCTGCCCCCCTGGTGGCCAGTGTGTGTCATAGCAACTGGTCCAGCGGTCAACGGAATGGTCAACCTACCAGTCGGACACTTAGCATATTACGCTCTTATTATATAGGATTTCATAATAATGCTCTACTTTCAGATAGTTTGGGAAACCTGTATTTTGTCCAGTTTTCTACTTGTCACAATAGGATAGCAAGTCCCACAGCAGTTTCTCCTTCATGGGCAGATGTGGAAGTCTAGGAACTATAATCTTAATGCCCCTAAGGAGCCAAGTGTCTTGATTTAGACTCAACTAGACCCACAATTGTAATAGCTACAAATGCATACTTTACTTACAGAATGTCTTAACATACTAATTTAATAAGAAACATGATCAAACACCTATACTAGGAATTACACTATTGCTGCAAAGATGAAAAGGGCATATTATAGCCTCTCCTCTCAAGAAGTCAGAGGCAAGCAAGAAAAGTAAGTATAGCCCTAACCAGTTTGGCTCAGTGGATAGAGCATCGGCATGCAGACTGAAGGGTCCCGGGTTCGATTCTGGTCAAGGGCATGTACCTTGGTTGCGGGCACATTCCCAGTGGGGGGCGTGCAGGAGGCAGCTGATTGATGTTTCTCTCTCATCAATGTTTCTAACCCTCTATCTCTCTCCCTTCCTCTCTGTAAAAAATAAATAAAATATTTTTTTTTTAAAAAAAAGAAAAGTGGAGCTCCAGTGGCGCAATCGGTTAGTGCGCGGTACTTATAAAAAAGAAAAGTAAGCATAGAAGTAATGTATTTGTATATTATATGTTGCCATTAAGATAACATAAGAATTATGCAGAGATAAATACTTTGATCTAGCATATTAGGAAATGTAGACAAGTTTAAAAAAATGATCATAAATAAAGGTTACCCAAACCTAGACCAATTAAAAATATTATTGATGATAATTTTGCCTTGTCTTCTAACCAGTATTATTGTCTAAAGAACCCTGTGCAATGATTTTGAGGAGCTTGAAGGACATGTGTAATTGAGGAATACCTTTAGCACATTGCTTATAGAGGTATTTTCCTCTTAGTGCTTCTTTGAGTATATAATTGTAACAGGAAGAAAAAGATCTGTCATTGGAAAAATCTCATGGGAATGAATGACAGGCAATGTATGAATGAGACACTCATATATGAGTAAGAAGGCCTGTGTAATTGGCTTGTCTTGTATATAATCTTATGAGAACCAAAGAAAAGGATTAACAGAAAAGCCATTAAAAGATGAGAAAGAAGAGTATTAGTCAAGATTAGTCAACCACCTGCCTTAATTCCATGACAACCATGTTTAGGAGGCTAGTCTTCTGAATTGGTTACCATAGAAACAAACCTTTAGAATGCCCTCAAATCAATCTACAGAATTACTGCCCATATTGAGTATAAACAACATGGAGAGATTATAAATATCAAAATCTATTTTAAAATTATTTTTAGAATTCAAATGATCCATCAAGCCCTTTGGAGATTGCTAATTTAGACAACCATAAATTTTATTTTGGCAAAAAGTGTAAAATCCTAACCATTATATTTAGGTGATGGGTTTCTAAATTCAATTATTCAAATGTGTCATTTCAATGGTTCCCATTTCATTTCAAATAACAGTTAATAAGTCTTCTGAACCTAGTTTTTAAAAAAATTATTATGTATGCATCACCCTCACTGCTCTGCCTTTAGGAGCCATTGATGGCTCCAGTCAACTGTACAGATAATTTAAAGGGGAATTGCTGATTGTTCATCTTGTGATTATCAAAGAACAGGCCAGGGGATTCTACGATGACCTTTGGGAATTTCCACCTATGTTTTTTTTCCTAGTTTACCTGTATGGAAATGGTCCACCTTATGCTGTGTACAGTGTGTTGTTGTTTTTTATGTAGCTTTATTGATTTCAGAGAGGAAGGGAGAGAGAGATAGAAACATCAATAATAAGAGAGAATCATTGATTGGCTGCCTCCTACACATCCCACACTGGGGATGGAGCCCAGAACTTGGGCATGTGCCCTGACCGAGAATTGAATCATGACCCCCTGGTTCATAGGTTGACACTCAACCATTGAGCTATGCCAGCTAGGCCTGAGGATCATTTTAATAGATGAAACCTTATCTAGAATTGACAAAGTTGAGCCTCTTATATCTGCAATTTTAATACCACTGCTCACTTGAGATAATATATGACTTTAAACAGAAGTTACTATTAGTTATTCTCCAATTCTTTTTTAAAAATAATATGATCCTTTTTTAAAGAATAGTTTATTGATTTTTAGAGAGAGCAGAAGGGAGAGGGAGAGAGAAACATCTGTGTGAGAGGGAGACATAGATCAGCTGCCTTCTGCACGTCCCCTACCAGGGATCAAGCCAGCAACCTCCTGGTGCAACAGTAGACATCCAACCAACTGAGCCACACTGGCCCAGGCTATTTTTCAATTCTTGAAAGAAGGAAACAAAAGTCTGTCTAAATTGCTCTAGGAATTAAATAAAGATGGACTTTCTATAAGTGACTAAACAATGATTCCACCTATTGATAGGATGTATGAGATTTCTGACTCCAGAGAAAGCCTAGAACTGTTATGCTGTGGGGATTTGGTAATTAAAAGGTGATTCCATTGCAAGAGCCTTTTAGGTTCTTCCCTCTTTTTCCACAAGTAAAGTGCTGTCTCTTATTTTAAAGCAAATCCCCTGTATTTGTACTACTCTTCATGGTTATTCTACCCAAGTATAATTACCCATTTAATTAAACTTAGCTAGAAATTTAAGAACCACTTTTTAAAAATCTAGGATGTCTCCAACAGAATACCAGCGGGTGTGAGCACAATAGAAAGATGTGGCTGAATGTCATAATGTTCCCAGTTTCTAACCAGAGGTTAAAAAAAAAAAAAGAAAGAACTAGACTTAGAGTTATATTAACATAAAATGCAGTCCACCAGTGACTGCAACAAATGAATGAGAAAATGCTGTAAGAAATTGGAATTAAGCCCCAGTGGGCCCCCCGACGCTTTCTTCATTCTTTAGATTAATGAAAACTGTCCCTCACTACCTCACTTTACATTGATTGTTTTTCCTGCAACTGTTTACCAAAGAGGACATTATCTTGAGCTGCCACAGTGTGGGATTTTACCAGTAAGTTAATGACGTGACTTGTAAATGCCCAGAAGTTCCCAAGTGGGATATACGTCAGCTGTTACTAGAGACCAAGGGACAGCATTTGCTTTACTCCAGATTTTTTTTTTTTTTTTAGGAAAGCCTCAGTAAACATCTCAGGTCATTTGTCTTTAGGTCATAAAATAAAACTGACGTTCGTCTAGCGCACAGGCCCTCGGGTTGGCTCTGAAGATCATTGGCTGCCCTGTCCTCATTGGAGTCATGGCATCCCAGAGGCTTCCCTAGCAGCCCAGGGACACAAAGAGCCTGCAAACACAGGAGCCCACAGACAGAGGGCCCGGGACCTCCAGGAACCTCCAAGTGCTTCTTCCCTGTCCCTCAGCCATCACCTACGGACTGTGTCAAAGCCAGCCACTTGGTCCCTTTGATAAACCTCAAGCTGAAGCGGTGAAAAAGATTACTGTTGGTTTTACCTAGAGAACCACTAGGAAATTCAACCTAAATTATAACTTCACGCTAAATTGAAAGACAAAATTTCAGAGGGGAAATCATGTACTAGATAGAGCATTTCAATAACTGACTTCAGTAGAATACTTTAGGTGTGTGCAGTATATGGTTTCTACGTGGCATATAGTACACTATGTATACACACAAATATGCACATGCATACACATATATGCATCTCTATATTTTAAAGATAACAGTTTTATTTTTTCCAAAATCTCTCGACTGTATATTCTTCTAAAGAAGTGGGTGATAGGTAATCCTGAAAAAAAAATAACACAGAAGAATAATTTGTGGAAAGTCAAGGCTCTTTTCTCTCATCTAGTAGGGTTATTAATACAATGATACTTTACTTTTTAAAGAAAAAGGTGGGAAAATGTATTTTTTTCCATAACATTGCACCAAGTTCTCTTTTCTCTTTTTGTAGTTTCTAAACAACTCTGAGAAATCACCCATGCACTCAATGCAGTGAGGAGAGAGCATGCTGATAACCGAGTGGCAGAACAGAGGTAAGCAATATCCTGTATCATGAATACGATGAGAAATACAAATTCATTTCCACAAAGAAAGTTTCAAATAGCTTGTCTCCCATCTCATCCAGAAATCATTTCCTTGTTATTTTTACAGCACCCCAGCACTTCATTTAATTATATATGGTAATTTATAGCACTGATTTACTCAGGCATTAATCATCATAACACACAAAATCCCAAACCAAAGCAACAGTGATAGCCCTACCGGTTTGGCTCAGTGGCTAGAGCGTCAGCCTGTGGACCAAAAGGCCCTGGGTTTGATTCGGGTCAAGGGCATGTACCTTGGTTGCAGGCTCCTCCCTGGCCAGGGCCCTGGTCAGGGCATGTGCAGGAGACAACCAATCAATGTGTTTCTCTCACATCAATGTTTCTCTCTGTCTTTCCCACTCTCTTCTACTCTCTCTAAAAGATCAATGGAAAAATTAATCTTTCAATTTTGATTAAGATTAAAATTAGCCCTAGCTGGTATGGCAAGGTGGATAGAGCATCGGCCTGCAGACTGAAGGGTCCCAGGTTTGATTCCGGTCAGGGGCACATGCCCAGTTGTGGGCTCGGTCCCCAATGGGGGGCATGCAGGAGGCAGCCAATCAATGATTCTCTCTCATCATTGATGTTTCTATCTCTCTCTCCCTCTCTCTTCCTCTCTGAAATCAATAACAAAATATTTTTTAAAAAATATTAAAATTAATCCTCGGGTGAGGATTAACAATAACAAAAACAACAACCCACAAAACAACAATGATAACTACCACCATTAAACAACAACAACAAAAAACCCACATACACTTTCTCCAGTACCCAACATTCAATATTAACTATTGCTTTCAATGCTCAAGGTTTAATGCCTATTTATTTCAAAACAATCAAACCAAACCACAGCTTTCCTTACAACTATATCTAAACAGAGTAATCAGACACATTCAAAGTGTCTTTATACCTCTCCCCAAACTACCTGTCCATCTTCCTCACTTGGTTTTTATATAAAACCTAGGAAGAACAGTTAAGAAAATCAATAAAACTGCTGAAGAAATTGGTGAAGAATTTTTCAGAAAACCAATTCTCTTCCAAATAATTTTTACTTTTGAAAAGAATACCAAAACACAGTCCTACAGATTTAAATATGGTACAGCTAGCAGGATTAATGGGTCCCATGATCCACAAGTGAAGTCACAGTTGGTGTCTGATTATTCCTACAAATGGAAAGGTGCAAAGAGATAACTAAACCAAAAAAGGCAGTTAACTTAAAGACAACCCTAACCTGGTGACGTTTTCATTTCATACTTGTGTCCAAATGTTTAAATGGGAATTGATACAAAGTCACATGAGATGAAGGAATATGCTGCCTGAATAGTCAGAATCCTTTTTACTTATCTTGCTCTGCCGCAGACAGCGTCAGTAGCTACTCACTTCCTTCCCCCTCATCATGCCGCATAAGGCTTTCTGTACTGTGACTTCGCACTCCTCCAGGTTGAGGAAAAGGGCAGTGAACTTAAAAGTTTTCTAGCGATAGCTGATTTTGCCAGAGAAAGGTGTTAGTGAGGAAGACGTCAATACAGAATCAGTGAAAGTAATCTATATCTGATGTAACAGTTGTTCATAATTCTTTAAAGAAAAAAAAAAACAAAAAAACTAGAACTCAACAGGAATGAAAGGACTAAGATACACATGGGGAACCTCACACCACACAGGGTCTTTGAGGCAATTCATTGCTGACCCCAAGATTTTTCAAAGAAACCAGAGCCATTTCTGGATCATGGGGAGAATTCTATGGCACCAGAAATAGTCAGTAAAGTATCTTCAAAAAATAAGGACCCACAGTGAAGAGAACATTAGACCCAGTAAACGCAAAGAAAATTTTTCTTTTCAATATACAGGGCAGTAAAAAGATAATGACCTTGAGGACTGAAGTCTGGTTCAGTAAGTTAGTTGTTGACCATAGTCACAACAATCTCATTGAATGACAATTTCCTCACCTATAAAATAGGTAAAATGCACCAGCTTTTTTCATGGACTTCAGATCCATGAGAGTTAAAGTCAGTGATACATTTGAGATCACTTTGTAAATGGTAAGACTTTTTTATTGATTTTTTTTTAGAGAGATAGGAAGGGAGAGAGTGAGACATTGATCAATGAGAAACATCAGTGGGCTGCCTCCTGCATGCCCCCTACTGGGGATTGAGCCCACAACTCAAGCATGTGCCCTGATGGGGAATCAAACCAGTGACCTCTTGGTGCATAGGATGACACCCAACCAACTGAGCCACACGGGCCAGGGCTAAAGACTATTCTTAGTAAATGGGGATTTGGACACTTTTTAAAGTATTGAGAATAAAAGCCAATTGAAGAGAACATAATAAAATTATCAAACTTTTGACCCAGGATAGACCTTATTCAATAGCAGCTACTGTGGGTCTGCCTTATTTTCTGATGGGGCAGAAATGGGAAAATTTTGATTGGTTAACAAATCATGACATAATGTTACTGTAGTATAATACACTAGTTATAGACTATGACTTTAAAAACCAGAAAGGATAATTGGTTAGCCTTAAAAAGTACGCACAGACTAAATACAACTTTCTACCTCATCTACAATATTTTGACACATTTTATTAGGAAGAAACAAACATAAATAATTTGTTCTATTTATCATGATAAGTCAGTAGCAATCAGGAACCAAGCCTTATACCATAGCTTAAGTTCTGGGCAGAATGTTCAATGTATACACACTTGTAAGTCATTAACTTGTCCATCACTTCAGCATTGCACATCTCCTCAGTAAAGCAGTAACTGTTAACAAGTAAAGTTCAACAACCATCTTCCTGTTGCTTCAAGCAGAGACTCAAAGGCAGATAATACTTCCATTATAACATGAAAATAGTAAGCTTTGGGTTATTGCAAAAGGCTTTGCAAATGTCAGTGTCTAACTTAGTGAAAATGGGGGGAAGCAGAAACAGAGGGCACTGATTTGTGCTATACTTGCTCTTATCTTGGGCAAGGTCCCCATTGTAATATTTTAAAGTTACTTAAAGTTACAAATAAGACTTCATAGGTGAAAGTAGAAAATGGTCCAGAATTCTCCTTATTCAAAGATAAAAACATTTTTTCTTCCCAGTAATTCACAAGAAAGAAATGGGTACTTAGAAACCCTAAAGGGTTCTTTAAATAACATTCAGAAAAAAATACGTAAAAAATTTTAAAAAACAAAGCAAGAACGGAATAAAACAATGTTAAAAAATAAGACTTTCTTTAAAGACGGTTGCCCGCTCTTTAAAGATGGCTGCTATATAAAAGGGGCAGATGTATCTCTATAACTCGTCATGTTTATATGTAAATTCTCTGGCAGATATAAATCCATCCTTGTCTTCATCTTCTTTATCAAAAATATCCTCCACCAAAACATCATGATGACTTTCATTCACTACCGCACCGTGCTTTTCAAACTCCTTCTTCAAATACACTTTAACCTACAAAATAATGGTCTCGTTAATACTTCTTACTTGTAAGATACCTGCATGGAGTCAATCAGTATCACAGACTGGACTGGTAGCTCATTTAATGATATACAACAACTGCTTTATGGCAACTGTTTCTCAGGATAGCTATGTTTCTTATACAGTGACTCCGAAATGGGAATTGTCTTGGCAAAATGGATCTTTCAAAAACTTAGGGCAAGACAAATTAGTCAACCTTATTTATGCATTGGGGAGAGAGAGAAAAGCAAAAGAACAAATGGTGTTTTAAAAGTCTCAATATATCTCTTTCCAAAAACAATGATTTCCTATGAAAAAGCCCATTTTCAAAGCATAGGCACTTTAAGAAGTTTTATAAATAACATTTTACCCAAATTAAAAATAAATTTTCTTTAAAAACATATTTCTAAAAAAGTGAGCTGGAAGAAGGGAAGAAAGAGAGAGTAGGAGGAGGGAATGGTCACCTCATCTTTAGAGAGTTTCCAGTCGTCATTAAGATCCATTTCTTGGAATGATTCATGGGATCTTGGTCCATTTTGAATCTCCAGGAGGTCGATGTTAAATATCAGTGTGCTCTCTGGGGGTATTTTACCTAAATGAGGAGGGGGGGGGGG